GCATTCGTGTTTTTCAAGCACTAAATGAAAAGAAAACACATACCTTCCAGTCAATTCACATTTTCATCCAGATGTTATGGCACCACATTCAAGTAAATTGCGTTTGAGTTGGTTCACTGTCAGCGACGCGTGCACACGCTCCATGTTAAACTCTGGTGTAAAGCCGTGAGCGAGATTCTGCGAGATTTTAGAAGGACTGCTTTCACCCCCACGCCATCTAGCGGCAGACCCTTAAAGCGGGTATTCCCCATTGTCAGAAGATATTTTCTGAAGGAGGAAGAGGTCCAACCAAATCAACATGAATATCACCAAATCGTCTATCTGGTGCATCAAAGGTGGTTAACGGTGCTCTAGTGTGTCGTCCAATTTTACTTGTTTGACAGGCATGACAAGATTTGACCCAATTACGAATGTCTTTTTTGAGTCCAGGCCAGACATAACGACTTGAAATGGCACGGATTGTTGGTTTTGTTCCAGGATGACAAAGATTGTGTATTGCCTCAAAAACGATCTTTGTCATTGAAGGTGGAACTACTGGCCAAGGTCGACTGGTAGTTGTATCACAGAGAAGTTTAACCTCACCAAAGTTGACTTCCTTTAACTTCAAAGATCCTGAATTGGTACACAGTTCAACCATCTTAGTGTCATTCTTTTGTGATGCTGCTAACTGTGTAAGGTCAATTGTCGGCATCGTAGCTGTGGAGGCAATAAGTGGCTCATCAGTTTCCACTGGGGCTCTGGACAGAGTGTCTGGGACAATGTTATCAGTTCCACTGATATGTCGTGTATCAGTTGTAAATTCAGCAATAAATGATAAGTGTCTCTCTTGACGTGGTGATCTGTCAGATGTACTCTTGAACGCAAAAGTGAGAGGTTTATGATCAGTGAAAATGGTGAATGGTCTTCCCTCCAAAAAATATCTGAAATGGCGGATGGTACTGTAAATTGCCAAAAGCTCACGGTCAAAAGTGGAGTATCGTTTCTGGTTAGGTGTGAGTTTTCTAGAAAAGAAAGCAATAGGTTTCCACATCCCTGATTGAAACTGAGAAAGTTCTGCTCCTATTGTGGTGTCAGAAGCGTCCACTGATATCTTGGTTGCTGCCTGTGGTTCAGGGTGATGAAGCATAGTTGCAGAAGCAAGAGACATTTTAGCATCCTGAAATGCTAATTGGCATTCAGGGGTCCACTGAAAAGTCTTGGCTCTGCCCTTGGTAGCTTCAGTAAGAGGTATTATACGATGTGCGATTCCAGGAAGAAAACGATGGTAAAAATTCAGCATTCCCAGAAATCTTTGAAGGCCTTTTTTGTCCTTGGGTGGTGGGAAATCTGCTACTGCTTTCACTTTTTCTGCAAGTGGTTGAACTCCAGCTGCAGACACTGAATGACCTAGAAATTCAACGTCTGATTGTCCAAATACACACTTTTTCTTGTTAATAACAAGTCCATTTGCCCTTAACAGGTTGAAAACTGCTTTAAGATCCTCCTCATGTTGTTCAGGCGTGGAACTTGCTATTAAAATGTCATCAAGATACACAAAACAACAGTCAAGTTCCTGTAGAAGGCCATCCATTAATCTTTGGAACGCCTGTGCTGCATTTTTAAGCCCAAAAGGCATTTTGAGGAACTCATAAAGTCCAAAAGGTGTGATGACTGCAGTCTTAGGAATATCATGTTTGGCAACTGGTATCTGGTGATATCCCCGAATCAAATCGATCTTAGAGAATATTGTCTTGCCATTGAGTGATGAATTGAGATCTTGTATATGAGGTAGAGGATAACGATCGTCTTTGGTGATGTCATTAAGCCGACGATAATCTCCACAAGGTCTCCAGCCACCATTGTTTTTCTTCACTATATGTGGAGGAGATGACCATGGTGAAGAGGAACGACGCACTATCCCCAGATTCTCCATTTCCTTGAATTCCATTTTTGCTGCAGTGAGCTTTTCTTGATCAAGAGGACATACTCTGGCTTTAACTGGAGATCCAACGGTTGGGATGTGATGTTCTACTCCATGTTTATTTTCGTTAAAGGATGACACTAAGAGCTCCGGGTAGTGTTCTAATACTGCTTCGTATCTTGTGTGAACTTTGTGAATCCCTTGTTGCTGAGATCTAGTGAGGTGAGCATGAATGACTGTTTTTCCATCCAATGAGATTAACTTTCTGTTGGAAAGGTCAATGGCCAAACGATGAGTAGTGAAAAAGTCAGCACCTAGAATGGGTTGTGTGACGTCAGCTACCCAGAATTCTTGAGTGAATTTTGTTCCTTTCCCTAGTTTTAAAATCATCTTCCTTTTTCCGTAAGTAGGTATTTTTGTTCCATTTGCTGCAATAAGACTTGGGCCATTGGTTCATTGTCGGTCAAACCGGTTAGCAGGAAAAACGGATTCTTCTGCTCCTGTATCTACAAGGAAAGTGCGCCCAGTGACAATATCAGAAACGGTGATTGCCCCATATTGATCATAGAAATTTGTGGAGCATCAGATAGACCAGCAGTGCTCACTAATTTCTGCTGGCTTTGTCGTTTCCCTGTTGTCTTCGTGTAGACATTGGACAAGGACAACCATCGATGATTTGTTCACATTTCCTGGCTTTATGTCCAAACCATGAATGATATTTACATAATTTGAACTTGATAGTGCCAGTTCCTTGGTGCTGAGATTTCATGGCGTTTATTTCTGTATCAGTTATTGTTGTAAGATTTTCTTCAGGCACTGTGGTAGTCACAGAAATTGAAGAAGGGGTGAGAGGGTCTACTTCTAAAATCCGATCAGCCATTTTAGCTAAGGTGTCGAGATCAACTTCTGGTGATTGTGCAAGAATCCGTCTCACTTCTGTTGGCATCTGCTTGATGAATAATGTGCGAAAAAGTGTGCTTGGATCTGCATTTAAAGAGCGCATATGCATCAATAGTTCCGTAGGTCGTTTGTCTCCTAGACCATTTATATTAAGTAATGCTGTATCCTTTTGGTATTGTGTGGCTTCATAGGCTTCTAACAGTGCATGCTTTAGTGCTTCATACTTTCCTGTCTGAGGTGGTCTCTCAATTACTGACTGGAGGTTGATGAGTCCAGGAGTTGCACTACATGATGAAATTTAGTCAAGTCATTTGTAATGGCTGGCTGGTGTGTTGCAAAGGATGATTCCAGACGTAAAAACCAAGCAGATGCGTTTGTGTTCCAAAATGGTGGTGCTTTAAATGAAACAGCTGATATTGTTTGCACTGTAGAACCTTGATATATGTCCAGGGTTTGTTGTCTGATAGCATCTGCCAGCTGTTTAATTCCATCTGAATCCATTGCTCACGTCGGGGTCACCAATGTAGCACACTGAATATTTTGGTATTTTTACAAACTAATAATATCTGTTGAAGTCTACCTGGACACCTGAAGTAAGTAACTCTAACACAAGTGAACAATAACTAACCACTGCACTACCTGTGCAGCTCTTTATTATAGTGCCAGTTATGCAAATGACCCAATGCTACAAGTCCAATAAATATGATTGGCTAGTTTACCACTGCATAACCACTGCAATGTAACACTTTACCATAATTGTTTGAGATGTTATCACATAGCCATTATGTAAGTTCTACATTATATACTCACCAGACCTTACGAGGAATAATCTATACATAGACTGAAATATTCAACGGGATGAATTGGACAACAGGCCTAGAAGATTTTTTCTCTGAAGTTTTTCATTTTTATAACTCTAACATTGAAATATGTTAGAGTAATAAAAACGGGAACTATTTATTTTGAAACAAAAATCAACCCTCTTAAATTTAAACAGCTCTATTTAAGGGATCTTGGATATTAACGAAAAAGTCCAAAACTAATGCAGCTAATGAAATTTCCTATTAACTTAAAGAAAAGGTCTAGCAAGCCAAACAATTTTTCAAAGTTTGTAGTCACAGTGTAACACGAGTGACGTAATATCAGCGTTTTGAGGCTAAAATTGTCTTTTTTTTAATCAAGAATTTCTCTTAAATAAAAAGCCCTATTAATACGATTGAAATAGCTATCTAAAGGTTAGCACAAACTCCATTAAACTCTGTCAGGATTTTCTCTTTTTATTTTTACTTTTGATTTTATTTTGATAAAACGTGAATTTTACGAAATATATATGGACCTTCCAATTTCAGTATTAATAACTTCAAAAATAAAAGGTCAATCCAAAAACCAAGACTCAGACGACTAGATATTATACTGAAACAGAGACACATCAAATTTCATGTCAATCTGACAGTTACAGAATGAGATATGGGGATTGAAGTTTAGACTATGTTATCAATCTTCAAAGCTGAGAAATCGCTCCTAAACCATTTTGNTTCATACTTTCCTGTCTGAGGTGGTCTCTCAATTACTGACTGAACACGTCTGGAGGTTGATGAGTCCAGGAGTTGCACTACATGATGAAATTTAGTCAAGTCATTTGTAATGGCTGGCTGGTGTGTTGCAAAGGATGATTCCAGACGTAAAAACCAAGCAGATGCGTTTGTGTTCCAAAATGGTGGTGCTTTAAATGAAACAGCTGATATTGTTTGCACTGTAGAACCTTGATATATGTCCAGGGTTTGTTGTCTGATAGCATCTGCCAGCTGTTTAATTCCATCTGAATCCATTGCTCACGTCGGGGTCACCAATGTAGCACACTGAATATTTTGGTATTTTTACAAACTAATAATATCTGTTGAAGTCTACCTGGACACCTGAAGTAAGTAACTGTAACACAAGTGAACAATAACTAACCACTGCACTACCTGTGCAGCTCTTTATTATAGTACCAGTTATGCAAATGACCCAATGCTACAAGTCCAATAAATATGATTGGCTAGTTTACCACTGCATAACCACTGCAATGCAACACTTTACCATAATTGTTTGAGATGTTATCACATAGCCATTATGTAAGTTCTACAGCCCCATTGAGTAGTCCGGATATAAAAATACGACTAAAGAAGATTTTAAACAAACAAGAGAGAGATCCATCTATGAGGCCATTCAGAACAGAAGATCCGAGGATCTTCTGATCCGCTGATCAAAAATAACCGACCCTACATAAAAGAAGAGCCGACTAAATAAATTAAAGGAATTAGATCACGGCTCTGAGGCTTAATTGCTAGACCCCTGCAAGGACTGCGCGTGTGGAGGCGGGGAGACCATCAGCGTTATGCAGTCAAACGCAGATGTACATGTACGTTCGCATACGTACAGAATATTTTGAGATTTGAATGTTTCGTTCAAAATTTTCAGATCATACGAGCGCTTGAGTCGCATGGAACCCTTCCGTCAGGGATACACCAGGCATACGGTATAGCATGACATTAAAATTGCAATGAAGTACTTTTCACAAACGTTGACTGATATACAGCCTGACAGATGTACATGTAGATATTTTCTAGCAACAGCAATTTTCAACAAAACAGAAGCAAGCCACCCATATTACTCATACCCTCATATGCGTTAAGTATACACTTATATACGGTAATCAAACGCTCATATACTCTTAAGAAACGCTTATATATATATATATATATATATATATATATATATATATATATATATATATATATATATATATATATATGCAATTATCAAACGCTGAAACACGTATACGATACTCATACATTACCCATATGTTGATATACGGTGTAAATACGTTACATGTACGTTGAAACACCTGAATTACTCAATTTTTTTTTTTTACTGGACAGGAACGTCTTTGGCACATTTGTTTCCGTTTTATTTGTTATTTGTAATTTTATCTGTGGGTTTTTAACAGTGCCATTTTACAAGGTATTTATGTATATATATACATTACTTAAACGCTGATATACGGTACTGATACGTTACTCATACGTTGATATACGGTGCATATTTGTTTTAAGTACGACGAGACACCTTAATTGCTCTTTTTGCTGGACAGGATCGTCTTTGGCACATTTGTTTTTTTGACCGTTTTATTTGTTATTTATAATTTAATCTGTGGGTTTTTAACAAAGACATTTTGAGAGGTCTTTATAGCTCCCTACTTGGGAGATCTAAGGTATTTTTTGTATTTCTTAATAGCGTAAAAGGTTTGTGACTATAGTCTACTAATTTTGGAATTGCCCATCGAAGGATACAAAACCACTTTCGTCATGAAAGATCGCCTGAAACAAGAAAATTGCGGACACAGAGAAAATATAAACTGATAAATGATTTGGTAATCCCCAATAAAGTAAATCCAATTCAAGCCCTTTGACTATTGACCTGACGTTGGCGACTATCGTATTTTTGCTATGACAATATCGGCTTCATGAGCTGGGGAAATTCCTCTCTGTTCTCCCTATTTAAACTAATAAAAGACTTGGTAATTCCCAATGAAGTTAACCCAATACAACCCTTTGACTACTGACCTGACGTTGGCGACTATCGTATTTTTGCTATGACAATATCGGCTTCATGAGATGAGGAAATTCCTCTCTGTTCTCCCTATTTAAACTAATAAAAGACTTGGTAATTCCCAATGAAGTTAACCCAATACAACCATTTGACTATTGGCCTTAGGTTGGTGACTATTGTATTTTTCGTTATATCAATATTGGCTTCATGAGCTGGGGAAATTCCTTTCTAATCAGCTTTCAGGAGTTCTAGCGTGCAGGTGCGAGTTCTTCGCTACAGCTCGCTTTGTGTGTATTTTTATCAAAGGGTTTGCGAATGTCCCGGGTTCGAATCTTGGTCTAGACAGGTGTTTTCTCCCCCCAAATCGCTACAGTATGTATGCTTTTAGCCGCACAAATTTAATATATAAAGGTAAAATGATATTTGATTGATCCATATCTTCTTAAGAAAAAACTTCAAGTATATGCATATTGTAAGGATGTTATAATTGATTTGATTATATACCTCAACATATCCTTTCAGAAAAGAAACTGACGCACCTTCCATCGTTTATTAAATATTACCTTACAGATTATCTCAATGCACTGAAAAAGATGCATAACAGATTTGTCTAACTGATAGCCTAGGTATGATTATCATAATTATTATTTTTATTAATTACTCATATCTGTGCATTTTACAAGCTCATTCTGGTGTTAAAAGTTGAAACAAGTTTATCAATATTTAGGTTCTGATTGAGACGAGAGTATCGTCCTGTAAAAGTACGTTGTGTATCTTGAATTTGCCAGAAACCCGTCTGCGGTTTGCATGAACTCCCTACTTTTATGAGCCCAGTCAATAAATAAAAAATCATGGATTCTCGGAAGTTTGGATATTTTTTTATTACTGTTACATAAATATAAATAGAGAGAGAGAGAGAGAGACACGCACAAAGTAATAACTCCGAATATGAAGTAATGAAGTAATTAGTGTAATGATATAAATATAACATTTAACTGATGATAACTACTGATGATGAGAACTACTTTTTTGATTGAACTTATAGTATGTACTTCTGTCGTTTCTATCAACACAAACTTCATAAAGCAAATAACCAACATCAACATCATCAGTATTTTAGGATTCGTCAACCTACATGTATGTGAGAGTCCAACAGCTCTTGCATGGGTTTATGATCAACTTTACTCTTCTTTTATGCTGATAATTTAGTGATTGGGAGACTGCATATTTCATCCAAAGCTATGAAGATTTGAAATAGAATTTATATGTACATCTAATGTAGTGCAAATATAGTAAATCACACCAAATGTTAGAATGATGTTACATACTGTACACAAATACATAATTTACGATCTCTGCTAGGGTAGTGAAGCCCTCTTTAAACTCAGAAATATAAATAAATACAAAGTGTTTTTTTTTCAAATACTTCAGTCTCAGTTGGAATGATACGGTTTTGTGAGTAGATGACGACCGGAGGCGATGCACCGGCTACTGAATGTGTTTAAAAAAGAAAGTGAGAGTGGCACGTGCTACCTGTACCACCCACCCTACTCTCATGGTCAGAGTATGCCTCTACCTCATTTCAGTACTTGTGCATTGTGTTTAGAACTTTCATCAGTTTCATCAAGTCTCAGACGGGTATATGTAGATGAGAACCCTAAGTTCTGATATTATTCAGAACGAGATAACAGAAATGTTTACTGCACAATCATTATTAGTTCCTGTATAGATATTTTGTCAAATGTTGGTGAGATATTTCATTTCCCATATTGGATTCTCACCGCATTAACTAGAGAAAGAACCCAGTCTGCCCCGGCTTCGCGCATATGTGGTAACGCCATAGCCATTGCATGCATGAAACCCTCATAGTCGGGGCTTTGGTAATGTTCGAATATGTGTGCTCCGTCTCGATCTCCGCAATCGAATTTCCAGTTGATAATTCTACCGACGTGTTTATCGTGCGTACACGCCAGTATGCCGTTCTCGTTGATGTACATCTCGTCTTTGTCTTTAGCACAAACCCATTTGAGAAGTTTTCCCTCACTATTAAAAAAAGGGTAATAAGATAAATGTTAGGAAGACCTGGAAGACTGAGTCGTCTATTCGAGCCGACTAAAATCTCTCTTGTAATACATGTATATCTAATTGTGTAGATTTTCATAAGTCCAACTGTACTTAGAGTAGATGTCTCCTTTCTTAGAATGGAAAATCGATCGTGTTGTAACTTACCTGTTTGGGCAGCCTTTAACAGGACAAGGGCACTTCAGTCGAAACCACCTCACCATTTTCTTAACTTATTGTAACAATTTTGTGCTAGCCAGGAACTTTCTTCGCTGTCTCATTTGGATATTTGGCATTTATATCTTCAATCTGTGGGAGTTTTCCACTCTTAAGTAGGTGATTTTCAAGAATCATAATTTTCTGACAAAATTTCAATCATATCTGCGCTCGTGATTGGTAATCCCCAGACTTCAGCCAATGAAGAGATGACACGACACAAAGCCCACTCATCATCAGCCAATAGCAATCGTAGGATAACAACGTCATTTTAAGTGTTATTCATATATCGAAAGTAGAAAGTTCCAGGACTAGGGGTATTTTTGGGAGAAAGGCGTAAAAAGTTTGTGATTCATCCAATGGTCTTGAAATTTCCCACCCTTAGAACGTGCATAAATACCAGCGCCATAGCCTCTTGGTTTCACTCAACAAGCAAATTTGTTCTGTAAGCTTGCTATATTCCCGGCTAGCTGTGTCATTTCGTTAAAAAACAGTGGTATTCAATTATTTGCAAGCTTTGTTACAAGATGGATTTCAAAGGGAGCAAAGGCAAAAAGAAGGCATGTGATATGCGGTTCCAAAATCCAACTAACCCAATAACTGGGGAGATGACCCACGTAAGTGATCATATGGACCCTGGCCATCGTGGAAGTCAAAGTTACGTTGCGGGAATGAGGGATTACGGGCACAGACATACCAGTGCGCATCACCGGGTAAGTTCATGCATAATACCAATGGCGCTGATTGCACCAATACTCACTAGGGAACATATTAAAAGAAAAAGAAAAAATGGCTCCACCAAATGTTGGTGTGCCTGTTCAAAGATTTGACATTCTCTAGCAGGCTCGGACAGGATTTGACGTGGTTCCGCCATATTTAAGCCATGGACCAGTTAGCACTCGGCTCTTGCTATTCTGAATGGGGCCTATGAGTGTTTTTTGCCTCAGATTTAATTCTTAGGCAGGTTCACAGTCTCATTATGGAACAAATTAGTTACGTTATAGTGTTTTTTTTTGCCATTTTCTGCATCTTAACAATATTGTAAGTTAATTATATAAAAATGATGGCAAACCTGTTATTGTGTATTGTGTAATAAAGTGTCAAAAATGGAAATAAACCCATATCTTTGCAGTTTGTCAGATTCAATCATTCACTATGTCCAGAATCACAGAATGGAGCAGATTGGACCTTAAAAATTTTTCTTTTGATATTTTTCTCAGCTCAACTTAAATTGATTATTTTGTTTTGTGTAAAAAGTGTTTTATATGGAATTAAACACATTTCAGTTTAGTTATCTCTTGTTATATTTTGATATTATCAAGGGGTGACTTTGAAATTCCATGGGCCTACAGACCTTTGCTAGTCACATTTTCTAAATATCAATGTTGCCTGCAATGCATAAATAAAGATTGGTGGTGATTACGTTGTTAAGGGTTAAGTAATATTGCAGCAAAATAGAAGAACTACTTTGGACACTGCCGCCAATATGATCGATGAAAGTCATGAAAAAAAATGTGTTGCTTACAATTTGTTTAACTTACATGGATAATTCTTAGGATAATTCTTAGGAGTCTATTGGACTTTCATTTTTTATTGAATTTATGCATGTTTTTGTGAAATTTTCCTTTTTCTCATTGTGGCACTTTCAAAGTGTAAACTTAAACGCGAATGGGCCTGAAGCCTTATGCTTGTTACACAATTTACTTTCATCGGTATTAGATGTTGTGCATAATTTGCAGTTAAGCATAATGTATTATCGCACCAGAATTGGCAGTAGCCTATTTTGTGCATTTTCTGCTTTTTGTCTGTACATTTGACAGCTTAACTGCCTTGTTTTTTTTTTTTTTAGCATTTTAGCATGTCATTTAACACTTGAATAATGATATCATGTTCATAATTTATATAATTAATACAGCTGAAACACCTAATTTTTGCATAAAAAATCCCTCCCCCAAAAAAACGTTACATGCAAATTACACCTCTTTTTTCAGTCTTACCATGAGGAGGAGGTGGAGGACATGGAGCATGACGGTTATGCTGTACACCACGCTGGAAGCAGACTTGATTTCATGCAGGCACAGAGACAGCAGTTCCGCTCTCTTCAAGGTCGGCCATCACAACTGACTAATTGAATAATTCAATAGAATTATTGATTTATTGATAATTAAATATGGCTATCCAGCCCTCTCACTGATATTTATCTAAAAATTTGTTAATTTTTGTGCCTGTTGCTTTTTCCGTCTATATTTTTATGTACCTTACTTTTATAAATTACAAAAAATACTGCTGTTTGGTGACTAAAGTCATTGCTTTGTTGTGATGCTGATATAAAGAAACTGATATTGCTTATCACATTTCAATCCCATTTTCAGCTAGTAAACAAATGCTGTACGATGTCTATGAACAAAACATTGGTTTGATCGAGGAGCTAGAGGCCCGAGACAACACAGAAATGTCACAAAAAAATGGAGGGTTTATACCATATATACGCTCAAAGATTAACCTCCCTACCCAGAAACACAAAGCCAGAACCGACGTGAGTTTTTCTTCTCTCTCTCTCTCTCTCTCTCTCTCTCTCTCTCTCGCAGCACATAGTTGTATGAGGGACAGCACTTTTTGACAGCTATACATACATATATGGTTTATTTGATGGTTTGTTTATTTATTTTACAAATTATTTTTGAAGCCCTTTACCACCCTGCAACTACATCTACTATTACTTCCACAGTTGTACTACTACTACTACTGATTTGTCTTGGATCAAAATAGACTAAAATCAAGTCTAAGAGTCTGGATCAAGTATTATCTACTTCAGATAACAGCTATCATAGAAGCAGAAATAGTCTGTCTGCAAACACAGCTGATGGTAGCTCCGAAAGAGGTCGTCGTCTCGGCCACACAGGAGCTGATAGAGAAAACCCTCCTGTGGCTTGGTCACCGTCAGGACATGGCGGCACCACCAGCGCGTTGCGATGGTTACGCTATCAACGTACTTGAGCTGTTGTTGCATGGCAACGCGGATATACAACCGAGAGAGAAAGGACCAAATGCCGGAAGGTGAGTTTTGGTTGAAGTTGCACATTTAAAAACTAGATTTGAGAAGCACATGAAAAAATATTTGGGTTATCAGCATGGTATACACGAATGTGTTGCCCAATTGCAAAATCATCTTTAAAAAGCATGGGCGTCTTTTTAAATCTTTTATCTTTTAATTTGATTAAGATTATCTTTTGATTTGGCTTAGATTGCACTTACAGTTGAAGTTGCCAAATGTGATGCAAGTCAACTTTTGGGGAGATTTTCTTAACACTTATCCCCCATCCTGCCTTTTAGAACGATACTTTCAGGTACATATAAAAATTAGAATTAAATTTTCCTTAACAGTAATAGCTCATACCAATTTTTAAAAATAACTTTTTTTCATATCGGCGAATATGTCTATTACAAATACAGTGTAATATTATGGTCACTTTCAGGGCGTATAAAGTTTCCTTAATCCAACCTATAAATATTTTATTCTTTAAATATTTTAGGCTTGATGAAGACATTGTTAATGGCGTTATGGGAGGCTTTCAGGGAGCCAAGCACAAGCAAAAGTTACAGGACGAGGAGTTCCGGCGGGATGAGAAGAAACAGCCTAAGCTTAGTGACATAAGGGGTGGGAAATCTATGTTGTCCGGTGAGTTCTTGAATATAAGGTCATGTTTTAATCAGAAAGCGAAATAGAGAAGGAGAAGCAGTTTTTTAAACTTATTAATAAAAAGTTAGATATAAACGCCCAAACACGATTCCAAGATATTGTTTGTGGATGTTGATTTATTCTCAAAGCTACATGTATCAACGATTATATCAAAGCCATGCATGGGATTTACATATATTCTTAATATCATTAAAAGAAATGTCAAATACGTAAAATTGCATTCTTGTTATCTCGATAACATGAATTAGGCCACTTCGGTGTACATCGTTTTTTCCACTTTCAGGCGTTCGTCGGGTTATAGATATAAAGCCCCACTTGAAGCCGTACCTGTCACATTTCGTGAACACAGAAGACCTGAGATAAAATGTGAAACTAAATATTACTGATTAGCTATACATTCAAATGTATTACGGCACCATAGTACAAACTCAACGGTGAACAGACTGATTTGCTAATGTAATGTTGACAGCACTAGATGTGTCTGTATATATAAAAGGACTAAGAAGATAAACTTTTTCAATATAATAGTAAAATTTCTCGCACTGATGTTGCTGCTGTGTCTTTCTTAATTTTTGTTTCATTTTTATTTATTCATTTTATTCATTTATTTATTTATTTATTTTTTTTGTAAATGCAAATATATGACTTACTCAAAAGGCTGACTGAAATTTATGCCAGGCGGCGAACAACATAAAGAATAAGGAAAAATGCATTATCTAAAGTGGGATTACTCTTTTTAACTTTTTTTTTTAACTCTTGAATACTGTTGAATAGGCGACGATGTAAGATTAACATATACTCATGTCAATGAGCTTTTTTTACTTAAAATATGGATTAAAGTATAAACAATTTGCAACACGACAACACATATTTCTGGTTAGAAATATTTGTATTTTGGTACTTCCCTACAGTAATTCATTGTTTATACTTGTTCAAGTGGTTTAGTGCACTATCGATCTGCATGGCAAAGGCGTGCCTTTGTGCAATATGCTGAATGCTAAAATGAAATAATTTGAGTGATCCATGCTCATGTACATCTTTGTAATAAATGCATATTAAGTAAGAATAAAAATTTTGCATAAACATCTCACTCCTCTTTTTTAAAGAAAAAACTTCTGTATCTTTAACCCGGAAGAATTTATAGATAATTGCTATCATTTTACGGTATAATGAACTAGAAATGTAAAAAGAGTTTAATGCTTTGTAGGTGTGTCATCATTATCATTTATTCGTATCTCTGTGCATTTTCACCAGATCAATCTGGCCTATACATTTAAGTATGATTACAAAGTTATCAAGGTGTACATTTTGCCGTCTGTGTCGTTTGGAGCATTCCTTATCTCATGCGGCACACTCTCTTGTACTTGGTCACTGTTTTCTGTCACTGAAGAACTGGTCGTCGCGATGGCCGATTCGTTGTCTAATCCAGAAGTGTTTGTTTCGCGATTCCTCTCACCCAAAGCCAAAGCAGCATCATTGTGTAAGTCTGATAAATACGGACAGCATGCATTTTATGTACAGACGTAGTCTGTACATATAGCCGTCACCTGCGTCTGTCGTTGCCGTCGTCGTCGCCGTCGTCGCCATGCACTCAGCGATAACACGATAAGTGGAATACCGTTTTACCTTTTGGCTTGAAACTCACCGAGCTGCTGAATATTTATAATACGCAGGTCAAGTTCGAAAATCAGCGTGATCGGGCCATTTTTATGGAAGTTATACTGTTTTTTCACTTTTTTCAGCATATATGCAACCCTGATAACACGATAAGTGAAAAACCGTTTTACCTTTTTGCTTGAAACTTACAGGACTGATGAATATTTATAATACGCAGGTCAGGTTAAAAAATCAGCATGATTGGGCCACTTTTATGGAAGTTATGCTGTTTTTACACTTTTTTCAGCATATATGCAACAATGATAACTCAATATAAGAAAAACAGATAGGCCAATTGTCATTATACTCACAGGAGTGGTCAATCTTACTAAAGCGCAGGTTGAGTTCGAAAATCAGCATAACTGGGCCATTATTTTAGAAGTTATGCTGTTTTTTCACATTTCCTCAGATTCAATTCTTAGGCATGTTAACAGTCTCATTATTGAATTAATAAGATACGTAAAAGTGTTTGTTTGACATTTCCTGCATCTTTACAACATTGTTAGTTGATTATGTAAAAATGATGGTAAAATTGTCATCGTGTATTGTGTAATAAAGTGTCAAAAATGGAAATAAACTCGTATCATTGCAGTTTGTCGGATTCAATCATCCACTATGTTCAGAATCTCATAAATGAGGAAATTGGACATTTAACACCGTTCCATTGATATTTTTCCCATCTCATCAATTTTCTTAGTTGATCATATAAAAATGGCAGTAAACTGTTTATTTTGTTTTATGTTAAAAAAGTGTTAAAAATGGAAATAAACCCATTTCAGAACAGTGTTGTCTTGTTTACATTTTGGTATTTTCAAGGTGTGACTTTGAAGTTCCACGGGTCTGAAGACCTTTGCTAGTCACATTTTCTGAATATCCATGATACTAATATCTTATTATTAAAAATTGATGGTCATTATGCTGTTAAGCATTATGTAATGTTGCATCAAAATTTGAAGAAACCCCTATTTTGGGCACTCCTCCCATGATGACCATTTAAGGAAAACCATGTCACTTACTGTTCTCAAACTTACAGGATAGAAACATGGGACTAAAATACAGCTTCAGTAGGCAATGCAGTCTGTTGGTAAATTTTTCTGGCAATTAAACAATTTTTTGTGAAAATTTAATTTTTCACATATTGGCATTTTCAAGGTGTGACTTTGAACCTCCACGGGCCTGAAGACCTTTGCTAGTCACGTTTTCTGAATGTCCATGTTACTAATATTTTATTATTAAAATTGATGGTCATTTTGCTGTTAAGCATTATGTTATGTTGCATCAAAATAGAAGAAAACACAATTTTTGGTGCTGCTGCCATTAGCATTATGGGAAAACCGTGTTACTAAGTGACTGTCAAACTTTCAAAAAAGAAACACAGGACTAAAATGCAGCCTGAGTTGGAAAAGGAGTCTAATTGGCTTCTTTTTCTGGAAGTTATACATTTTAGTGAAATATTCATTATTATCGTTTTGGCATATTCATTGTGGGACTCGGAGCTCCCATGGACATGAAGCCGAATGGTAATCAAATTTTCTACATGTCCATGCTATTTATAGTCAATAATCAAAAATTGGTGATAATTATTCTGTAATTTATTAGGTAATGTTACATCAAAATTGACAAAATTTTTTTTTGCACTGCTACTACAAACATTATGAAAAGAAAACCGTTACTTATTATTATTTTTAACTTACAAGTATGATTTTTAGGATTGGCATGCAGTTCAAATTAGAAAGCCAGCTCTGTTGGGTTATCATTTATTATTGAATTTATGCAATTTTGTGTGAAATTTTCATTTTTCTCATTCTGGCATTTGTGAACTTGAACTCCCATGGGCCTGAAGCCTTATGCTTGTTACACAGTTTACTTACATCGGTATTACCTATTGAGCATAATTAAAATTTGATGTTGAATTTGCAGTTAAGCATAATACTTGTACTTTTGCATCAGAATTGACAGTAGTCTATTTTGTGAATTGTTATTTTCTTCTTTTTTTCCCCTACATTTGACAGCTTTGCTGCCTTGTTTTATTCCTGCACTGTTTCATATACGTGAGTCAAGTCTGCTTGAAACTTTGTCAAATTCTTTGGTATTGTCGCCCTCGTGATCAGATGTGCCCGTTTCCTTTATGACTCTTGCGGGTGATCTTCGTCGTCAGAGAAAAACGAACGACACACCCTTTTGAATTCTTCTATTCTATCAGACAATTCATCAAACCAAAACGGAGAATGTTATTCGTTTTCGTCGGGTGTTGGAGCAGTGATACTTGGTCACATTTTAGGGACCATTCCAACAGATATTTGGATCGATCTATCTCCCTGAGGACTCTCACTAAATTGTTAACAACTTAACCGGCTTAAATTTCTGTCACGCCTGGTAAAGCTTTAAGGGGGGTAATTATCTTTAATAAAGATAATTACCCCTAGCTGTTTCGGTAGGCGTGACAGACATTTAAGCCGGTTAGTTGATAGCAATTTAGCGAGACTCCCCAGGGAGTTAGACAGATCCAGATGGATCGATCTAGCTATGGGAACCCAGTCTTAGTACTTGTCTTCATTGAGCTCAAAACCTGTGTTGAATTTTCAGTGACTCCTGATGCTGTAAGCAGGGGCTGTGTACTTGTTTCATTCACTGAATTTATTGCCAATTGTCGTGGAGTTTCGTTCTTTGTATCAACAGATACATCCGATTGTGGCGCTGTGCCTATATTAGGCGAGACTCTCTACTGTGACAATGATTCAGTAGCTGCGGTAGTTGAGACAGTGGCTTGCGGCTCTACTGCATTCTTTGCATCACCCTTGACTGGAAGTCGCTGCAGCGTGTAGCTCATTTCTTCAGCAATGCCTAGCAGGTATACATTGGCGAGGTTCTATTTACCGTGTTGGACGATAGTATTGATAAAGGGGAAGTAAAGGCAGAGGAGTCACTGCATTCATGGCAGTTTGAAAATTGGACAGCTTCTGACCCTATTTCAGCCTGTGTCTGACCCGACTGTCCTATCACATCTGTCAAGAAATAGGCTCCGTTTGCCTCAGCGGAGACCACAGCATGCATTCTGGAGGCTCTAGTTTCTGCATGTAAGTCCTCAAGCATATTATCATTAATCCACTCATTTATTAGAGCTGTTAATACACCTATTTGGCTTGCACGTTGGTCGGTTTGGGGACACTCTTCGGTTTTTGTGTGGGCATTCTCTTCTCCAGTGCCCTTAGTAAACTGTTCATTGGGATTCATTGGGTCAAGTAATAGTCTTTGTCTGAAAAGATCAGTTTTGCATACATCATGCTTCATAACTAAACCGCCCACGTTGACTAGACGATACGCGCACTTATTCGCCCCCAAAATACGCTCACAAATACACATGGAAGAAAACGAGAACACTGAAATGAGGCTCGGAGGCCTTCTTTTGCACAAAAGAAATCACCACCAAAGAGAAAAGAATAGTTTAATCTATTTATAGCATTTTGAATAGGATGTGTGTTGTACTTTATAAAGTCTGTCTGATAATAACTCATTTCAACGACCTTTAAGACGTTAATCTCTCCTCACTTACATAATCAAATCATGTAAAACCCAAACAACGAACAGCTTTTGACATAACGTTCACACCGATATCAAACAATTTGAGTCTAGGCACCTACCTGCATTATGGCAAACGTCGAACTTAGTGGAGACTAAGAGCAATACAGAGTCCGCAGGCAGTGTGGTTCTGCTGTGCATGTTGCCTTGCCAAGAGAATATTCGCCGTTAAGAACGGCAGGTTCAGGGATCTCAAATGAGATGGTAGTCTAAATATAGCGGTGTATCTGGGTTGCTGTGCACGTGCACACCTGAGTATACTATATAGGATGAGCGAGAAGTGATTTTCTTGGATTTGTCTAGATTTAATTTTGCATAAACATCTCACCTCCCTTTTTAAAGAAAAAAACTGCTGTATCTTTAACCCGGAAGAATTTATAGATAATTGCTATCATTTTACGGTATAATTCAATGAACTAGAAATGTACAAAAAGTTTTATGCTTTGTAGGTGTGTCATCATTATCATTTACTCGTATCTCTGTGCATTCACCAGATCAGTCTGGCGTATACATGTAAGTATGATTATAAAGTTATCAACGTGTATATTTTGCCGTTTGCGTCGTTTGGATCATTCCTTGTTTGAAAATGGGTAGATTCTCTCTCTCTCTCTCTCTCTCTCTCATCATTAAATCCCCATTAACTAATTGCAATAATGTAACTCTAAGCACAGGTACCATATCCGTCATCTTAAAGCGTGTAACATTAACAAGCCTTTTCGGGTAATAAAACATAAATCAGAAATTTTAAGACACCAACCCCAGTACCTGTGTGTGAAACCGAAGATTGAGAAAATGAGTAGACCTAATAAGTTAATGATATCAAAATAGTTTTTTGGTAATAAAAGAAGAAAGAGTAGTTCTGATTCTTCATTTATTATTTCTTTATTTAATGCTCTTTCCTTAATATTGCACTTCTTATAAGTATAATAATTAAATATGATCATATTCGTTCAATCATTGGTTACTTTGACACAAGACAACTTTTTTTACCATCAATACAAAAGCTGCTGCTTGTTTTTCACAGTTTATTTATTTTATAAAGTGCATCATCTTAGTCATCATCAGTGCATTTATGGATGCGTCATTCACTACCCAAACAGTTCTTGCGTCATTCACGTTAGTGTATATCCCTGTAATAATGGAATGCATATAGAGTTTAGAATGTTACATACAATTAAGTGACCTGCGCGATGACAAAGGAAAGTCCCCGAAAAAAAAAACTATAATTAAACGCTTGCACAAAGGTTTATCAACAAAATTTTGCTTGACATATCATGTGTTGATAACAACGGAAGCACGTATAGGGTAGAGCTACAGTGAGGGTGACACGTGCCATCTGCACCGACCCCAACCCAAGATCCGCCTAAGAACTTCACCCACTCCTCACTCCAGCTCTAAAGCATTTTGTTTTTAATATCTTCCGTCAGTTTCATCAAGTTTGGAGGAGTGAATAAAAAAATCCAAGTCCTGACATTATTCAGAATGTTCACTTCACAATCATTATCAGTTCCTGTATAGGTATTTTGTCATATGTTGGTGAGATTTTTCACTTCCCATATTGGATTCTCACCGCGTTAACTAGGGAAAGAACCCAGTCTGCCCCGGCTTCGCCCATATGTGGTAATGCCATAGCCATTGCATGCGTGAAACCCTCATAGTCGGGACTTTGGTAGTGTTCGTATTTGTGTGGTCCTCTTCTATCCCCGCAATCGAATTTCCAGTTAATAATTTTGTCTACATGTTTATCGTGCGTACACGCCAGTATGCCGTTCTCGTTGATATACATGGCGTCATTGTCCCTTGCACAAACCCATTCAAGCAGTCTTCCCTGGCTGTAAAAAAGAATAATAAATAAATGTCAGGAAAAAATGGAAGACTGAAAAGACTGAGTCGCCTATCCGAGCAGACGAAAAATCAAGGGCACAGGGATGTGAAATACTTTTTTTCCAGATTTGCTCGGGGAAGAGAAGAAGGGGATATTTCAGAAGTCATGGGAGAGACTGTGCCTGGCGTACCTCCCCCCCCCCCTCCACCCCACCCCACCCCGTAGATTAGCGATTGTTAAGAGGCTAGGTTTGTTTTTTTTTTTTTTTTTGTGGTTTTCAGGAAAAAAAATCGGCCAAAGTTGCTTAGTATATAAATAAACATTATGGCCGGTACTACACTATCCCCTTTTCTTAATTCACTTTCCAATAAATCTCTCTAGTAATACATGTATATCTATTTGTACAATGTATTTCCAACCGTCCGTACAAGGAGTAGAAGTTTCTTTCCTTAGAATGTGAAGTCGCTCGTGTTCTAACTTACCTGTTAGGGCAGCCTGTAACAGGACATGGGCACTTCAGTCTAAACCACTTCACCATTTTGTGCTAGCCAGGAACGATCTTGACACCGCTGTCTCTTTGACAGTCTCTTTCGGATATTTGGCGTTTATATCTTCGATCTGTGGGGTTTTCCACTCTAAATTCTAAATTAGGCGATTTTCAAGAATCATCTTCTTCTGGGAAAAACCAAAATTTTCATCTTATCTGCACTCGTAATTGGTAACACCCAGACTTCGGCCAATGAAGAGATGACACGTCACAAAGCCCACTCATTATCAGCCGTTAGCAAAAGCCGATAAATCGAAAGTAGAAACTTCCAAGACGAGGGGTATTTTTGTTTAGGCGTAAAGAGTCTTTGACTCATCCAATGGTCTTGAAATTTCCCAACCTTACAAAGTGCATAAATACCAGCGCCATAGCCTCGCGCTTTCACTGGACAAGCAAATTTGTTCTGTAAGCTTGCTATATTCCCGACCAGCTGTGTCATTTCGTTAAAAAACAGTTGTATTCAATTTTTGCAAGCCGCACAGTTTTGTTACAAAATGGATTGCAGAGGGAGCAAAGGCGACAAAAAGAAGGCAAGTGATAGGCAGTACCAAAATCCAACTAACCCAATAACTGGGGAGATGACCCACCAAAGTGGTCGGATGGAACCTGACCATCGTGGAAGTCAAAGCCATGGTTTTAATGAAAGATCGCCAGGCTACGTTGCGGGAACAAGGGGTTACGGGCACAGACATACCAGTGCGCATTATCAGGTAAGTCCATGCATAATATCAATGGCTCTAAATGCACCTATAGATGTGCTCTAATGAACATATTAAAAGGAAAAGAAAAAATGGCTCTACCAAATTCCAGTGTGTGTGTTCGATTCAAATATATGTATAGGCCTATGTCATTCTCTAACAGGCTCGGGCAAGGTTTAACAGATGATTGACTGTGGAGCGTTTCGGAATTTTGTAAAAAAAAAAAAAAAAAAAAAAAAAAAAAAAAAAAGAAAAAAAAAAAAAAAAAAAAAAAAAAAAAAAAAAAAAAAAAAAAAAAAAAAAAAAAAAAAAAA